AAAAGTATAAACTGCATCAGTGAGATTTTAAATTGCCATGGCAACACTGACATCATCCAATTTCAATGGTAAAATTTGTATTTCAAGAATGTTACATTCCAAATATATTACAGGAAACTTACAAAGCAGAACCTTATTGGCATATGTGATCACAAAAGAATTCAGACAAATGGATTGTAAATGCAAAAAAAAAAATAGTTTAAATGTATTTAATGTTATTTCATTCACATTAATAAAGAGAAGAGAATCTTTATTTATATCTTAATTCAATATTGCTTAGATAGGTTTCATTATGCAAATCTATTTATTAGTTTAAATCCTACCATGTCAGTATGTACCTGAATTTGAATGTAGAATGTCCACCAACAAATTGTTCCTTTGAAATAAAGCCACTGAATTATTAGATAATCATTTTGCATGATTATCACCTATAAATTGCTAGATCCAAATTACCAACAGTGGAAAGGAAACAGATATACCCAAACCATTTATAAAGAGTTCAGCTGATACTGCATTGGACATAATAAAATCTATAGGATTTTTTTATACAAACAAACAAAAATATTTCACTTTAACTTCACTTCTCTCCCACAATATAAGCAGAATACATCTTCTGCACGGGACATCAGAATTTTTTAAATGAACCTCAATATTAATAAATGAATTCATCACACAAATATATAAAATCAGTATAGTGCAGAAATGAATGCACTAATAATCAAAAGACTAGAATATGTGCTTAAAGTTTATTGATTTCAATCAGACTTCTGTGTGCATGCTTAGATACTGAATTACTGCTAAGAAATAGATTGACAAAATCAACTATTTTGGAGGGCTTGCTACAGAAGTCTTAGAAAAGACTATTTTTATAAGGTTAGTAGTTCAGTTGTCAGTACTGAAATATCTCATTCCCATACAAAATGTAGTTAAGAGGGCCACTGGAAGATATTCCCAAAGAAAAACTATAGCTTTTTAATTTTTTAAAAGGGGAATAAAGCCAAAAATGGGTAAAGATTGTTCTATATATAATAGAAGAGTAGAAAATTGGATGATAGGGATTATCATGTTTTACTTTCGTTTCATAATATTTTTTAATAAGTTGTTAAATAATTTCAGATAAGCCTTCCTGAAGGACAAGTTGTCCATCATTCAAATGTTTACCTTCATTATGCAAAGGAAATCTATCCATTTGGACAGGCAGCAGTTCCTAATGGATATGGCCAGTGGCTCCTACAAACTAAGGTTTTCAAATGATTCTATGGCAGAGTTTCTGGAAAGACAAGTAAATGCAGAAAATTTCCCCTAAAAGCAGAAAAACTGAAATAATTGCCAATTGATACCTTTAGGGAGATTTGGCATTTTAAAGATTTTCACGATCCACAGCAAAAAATGGCCTTGGCTAGTCACGAAACGTTAGAAATATGCTACTAAGGGGGTGGGGTGAGAAATAAAGAACAAACAAACTTGTTTGCTGTTCCTACTTCATCTTTTCTTTAGAACTAATTAACTTAAGATTATTTTTCCCCAAGGTGCCTTCCCTTTCTTTATCTCTGTACATTTCTGTGGAACAGGAAGTAGATTTAAAATTATCCATTGAGACAATTTGGGCACAGAGCCAGGTAATCTGTATGACCGCCCATCCCCAATTATACCTCCCCATCCCACTACATCCAACTAGGTGGGCATGCTCCAGGTCCTTCTCTGAAACAGGGTCATCTAGTGAGACCCAGGAAGAGTGCCTTCTCTGACACGGAGCCTACCTTGTGGAACAGTATTGCCCTGAGATCAGGACAACCCTGTTAGTCTTCAGAAAGCCTTGAAGACATGGTTTTTATGACAAGTATAGTTTGATTGGATTATAGTTTATAGGGACCTCAGCTTTGTTCCAATGTCGGTATTTTGTGTTTTTATGCTTGTATTGTGAGCTGTCCAGAGGACTGAAATTCTATAAATAAACTAACTTAGTAACAAATCAACTTTCTTTTGAAACAAATTCTATCTACTTGACTTTCACACTGTATGCAAATATATTCAAACTTATGTCCGTATGACTTTCCTGATGACGTTTCCTGTCTTAAAGAAGGAAAAGAAACCAAGGATGCATGGGATCCATGGCATGTGTTCAGCCCCTCCCTTTAATTTATCCTCCTAGGAACCCCCAAATTGCATTGCACAAATTCAGTAGCAGTTTTTAAGCAGTGCAGTTTTCTTCATTTTTTTCTAGAATAAATGTATTCATCTTTTAAACCCCACAATCACCCAAAACATATCAAACAGCTGTGAAGTTTCAGTCCTGCCCATCTGGGTCTCTCATTGTGACACTCAGTTTTAAAAAGCCCCTCAAATTCAAAGTGTTTCCACCAATCCAGATTAGAAACTACATTTCAGTATTTTCCTAGATGCAGTAGAACTTCTAACAATACACCAATGCTAGAATTTCAGTAAAAAAGATGAAGATCCTTTTCTGTATTGAAGGGCCGCTTTTCTCACTATCTAAGCAAAATATTCTTTTCAGGCTTTTAGCAATTTTAAGGTATCATTCATGTCAACCAATATATTTTTCATTTCTTCCCCAAATGAAGATTTGAAAGAGTAAGCCATCCTTAAGTGTCAATTGTGTACACATCATTAATAAAAATGAGAAAATTGCTTTAGATGCAAAAATCCCTAAACTGAGTATCTTCAAGCTTTAAAACCCAAATACAGATTTCATCTATTGTTATATATCATATATACATATTGAAAGTCAATTATAGAGTATAGAATACCGGCGTTACTCTGAAAAAAAAAAAAAACTGGGTTCAATTCTTCATACAAAAAAGAAGCCTTCTGAGTCCTTAGGTTAATCATCTTCTCTCTCTAAGCTACTGTAAGTGTTAAGTAGGCTTAATGGTTTTTACAGAGTTCAAAATTTCAAGTATTGAGCTAAATGTAAAATTCGATCCATTCCTAAATTGTGAAAAATTTTGTTAGTTGAAAAATTACTTTTCAGGCCAACCTCTTAAATAAAAACAAAATGGATTTTATGGTTCCTTTTAAAATGGGATGGACAACTTGTGGCCCACATATGGCCAAATTATCTTCTGTGGCCCCCATCATCCCTGGAACTCATGCCATTGATTTACAGCAGCAAACCTTGAAGAAACAAGAATTCAATTTCCATTTCCTTTGCTTTTGGCAGAACAGCAAATGAAACAGCACAAGACTTTTTAAAAAGAAAAAAAAATCACACTGTGACAGATAACAGGAAGCCATGCCTGTCTGTGAATCTGTCACAGAGGCACAAAGGCAGCCCAGATACCCAAACACACACTAGAGAGCTCAAAACAGAACGTGAGAGTAGGAGTTGGTTTAGTTTCTCATAAGATCTTCTCATGGGAGGGAGGTGGCTTGTGTTAGAAAAGGATGATAGAATCTTAAAAACTAGGAGGAATCCTGGGAAGAGGAAGAATAACTTAGAGGGAAGAGGTAGAATGGTTGGTAACCTAAGATGGATCTATACAACATTGGCTGTTGAAAATGTATTGTTTTATTAAAGAGCAATGTTGTCTGGTGACCTGAAATGGGCTCTGCAGTTCTGATCTACATTAGGAGTGCTAGTTCAAGAGGATCCTGAAGACTTCTAAAATGGAGCAGAGCACAATTCAGAGAGGTGTGCTGAAGAAAGGTGCAGATCAGCATGGGAGGGAATTTACCCAGTGCATGATGTCAAAGGAGGGAGGAAGGCCATGTCCGACCAACCAAAATGTACTTCTGCCAGACTGAGACAGAGCAATAGTGTTGTCCAGTATTTTTAGCCTTTTCTTAACTCCACTTAGAGTTAGAGTCTTCAGAAATAGAACAGAACAGTGTACATACAAATTAAACCAACATTATAGAGTGCACACATAAGCTATTTAAGATGCATAATATTTAGCAGACGAAAAGAGTTTCCCTGTTGTGCTTTTTAAATCTTGAGCCATCCTTTTCTGCTGATTATCATTATAAATGGACAATAGAAGGGATAAGAGCCCAAGGTTGGCTTATCTAGTCGTAAATTACACTTGGGAAGCTAGGTTGGGGTAACCAAAAGGAGACACCTAAATTGCTTTACATTGTTCTCTTATAAAAGAGAAAAACATAAATAGAGACATTTACACTGATTTTTCATCAAATCATTAGGACTCACAAAAAGCCCATGACAGCTGCTCCAACAATAACAAAGCTCAAAGCAGGAAAGAAAAAAGAAGAAAGGAGAAAGTAGAAGTACATGTGTCCATAGAGGCAAAGGTGGACAAAGACTAAACGTGTTTTGAGACACATCTCTTTTGTATTTGTGTTGTGATGTTGCATTCAAATACATAAGGGGTGGAGCTTGCATTGTGACATCACAATGCATATCTCATCATTGTGACAAACCTTACAGCTGCTGAGAAGACTTACAGATATGAAATGAGAATGTCATTTATCTGTCTGTGATCTCTAATTTAGTTAATATTATCAATCCTAATTTTACAGCAACAAGGCTTGAATCCTTATTACTTTAAAACTGCTGTTGGGTCTGTGACTGTAACAGACCGGCATCTTTTTTCATTTTTGCCACAGCCAGGCTTAGCACTTAAATCTTTCTCTATAGACTGCAACAGTCTAGACACTTACTTAGGAATAAGCTCTATTTCACACAATGTTTTCTAACTAAACATGCACAGGATTCTACTGCAACTCTATTAAAATGTTAAAATCATGGGCACAAGGAATATAAATGCCACAGAAGGGAAGAAGCAATTGGTATTCTTGTTCTTAAAAATGAAATGTCCTTACATAATCTATTAAATGAAAGCTCTGTATCTAAAATATTACACCACTGAGCTAGTTTCCTCAACATTACAATTCCAACATAAAAGTCTAAAGACATTTTAGAATATTTGAAATGATATAATACTTTTTAAAAAACAAAGTTTTTTAAAATATTGCAAATGTTATTTCAGTTTTTAATATGAATTTAGACTTCCAAGTCTTACCTTTGATGCCATTCTCATGAAAAGTTTATTGTGATCCTCTGATGTCCTCATCTTTTCATTCCTGATCAAATCCTTCAGATCCAAATTGTCATCATCATGAAAATATCTGACTCTTTCTTTATCCACATGAGTAGGGATCTAAAAATTAATATTAAAAAAATCAAGATTGATATGATTTCCAACTTATTTTAACACAAACCCATGAAAAATGTTATGAAATTATGCTACCACAGTCAACATCTGAAATTAGAGAAAATCAATTTCAACAAAATAAATATGAACTGATAGAACTCATGTCATGTTGTGATTTTATATTTGGTACAATCAGCAAAATGGGCATCTGCAAAAAGCTATTCAAAACTGTAGAAAAGTACCTTAAAGATAGATTTTTTTTCTCAGAACATTTTTACAAATGTATCATTCCTTCAAAGGAAAACAAAAAAAAATAGGAATCTATAAATAGCTATTTGAAATGGACAATTCTGACCATTTCAAACCCTTTGTTCATTCCCAAAACAGCTTAAGAAAATTGTTTCAAGCTTGACAGAGGCATTTAAAATCTTGAACCTTTTCAGATTTGAAATGTTTTGCAAGTTCCTAGAGGAAAACAGATAAAATCTTCATTCCCCTTATTGATGAGCTGATATGAACTCTCCTATTCCACAGAGATTATAATAAAAGAGACAAAGGAAAGTTTCATGACATTTTAGAAATGGCTCAGAATCTTCTTACAGTATATGGACTTCAAGGTCACTATTGCCCTAGTTCCACCTCACACAAAAGATGTTTAGGAAATATGTACTAATAAAAAGTAATATACAAATTACTTATATTATTAATATTACATATGTACTAATAGGAAGGAAGGAAGGAAGGAAGGAAGGAAGGAAGGAAGGAAGGAAGGAAGGAAGGAAGGAAGGAAGGAAGGAAGGAAGGAAGGAAGGAAGGAAGGAAGGAAGGAAGGAAGGAAGGAAGGAAGGAAGGAAGGAAGGAAGGAAGGAAGGAAGGAAGGAAGGAAGGAAGGAAGGAAGGAAGGAAGGAAGGAAGGAAGGAAGGAAGGAAGGAAGGAAGGAAGGAAGGAAGGAAGGAAGGAAGGAAGGAAGGAAGGAAGGAAGGAAGATTACATTACACCCACCATTGGATTCTTCTTCCTTCTGCCTCCATGATCCAATGTTTCTTCTGGAATATTAACAGGCCATGCCCTGCCAGATTTATCAGTTCTGACCAGGATCACTTCACGGTCTTCTTGAAAGCCTGTTGTCTATATTAACATGGAAAACAACCAGAGAACATTAACAAAATAGAAAACACTAAAACAGGTGTTGCACCTTAATTTAAAAACTCAACAACAGTTATATACTAAGCATGCTATTTAAATAAAACTGATGAAATCCAGATATTCAAAATGAACTTTTCTATTGAAATAAATTTAGAGTTAAGATCCTTTCACAAGCAAAATATATACTCTACACATAAAAAGGACTTGTCTGGTATAATTTCACTCACTAGTTGCAGGTATTATAAGTAGCCTTGAAAATATTTTAATTTAATGGGCGTAGTTACATGATCCCCTATAACCTTTAAAAGATCTTACAGAATCGCATCACACTTTAAGGTTTCAGGCTAATATATGCCTGGTTTTTGTGACTGACATGAAATGTTACCTTGAGCTGATGGGAAGATGTCACAGAAAACCAAGACTTCACCCCCATCAGTGCCCAACCAATCTCAGTAATACATGCCAGATCTTTGGGTTCATCTGCTACTATGCGGCCTTCACTGTAGGGGAAAAAAACTGATTCACCACCCTCTACTCAGTGTAGGGTGGAGATTAGGTTAAAAGGATATAATCTGCATTAGGATTAATTTGGTCAAACATTTCTTGGAGAATCTGGAAATGGAATTGAACCTCTTTTCTAAAATAAGGATTTGCACTTTTCCAACTAGTGTTTTATTTTTATTTCTTTACCAATAACTCTTAAATTCTATCTCCATGCCATCCTTATTTCTACATCCAGTAATATACTATCACGGTATATTGAGTACATGTTTGGTTTCTTTTCCTGACAGAATGAATGGTGATAGTGGCTGCGTTTGTTCTGGCTTAATATGATAACTAAATTATAACAGTTAACCATGGGTTAACATTGTGTGTGTACGTGCATGCGCGTATCTTCAAGTCAATATTGATTCCTGGCAACTGCAGTTTTCTTGGCAAGATTTTTAAAGTAGTTTGCCACTGCCTTCTTCTTAGGGTTGAGAGAGAGTGACTGACAAGGTCATCCATCCAGCTTCACACCTAAGGCAGGACTAGAATTTACACTCTCCCGGTCTCTAACTTGGTGCCTTTGGTACACCAAACTGGCTGTTAACTTAATGTGTAAATCTAGTCAAAGAATAATGAGTCCTAAAAAGGGAAAAAGAAGGGTTTCCTCCCACCCCACCTGTTAAAATTAGCAGCAAGAATGGGATTCTTTCCTTATCCTTCAACATTGCTGCAAGTATGGTGAGATGTTGTAAACTTCATCCATTTTCTCATTGCATGTATCCTTTAGATATGTTTATCCTGGTCTTCCAAGAAAGCATCATAGGAAGCCTGTGCCCATATAAACCAAAACTTGAAATACTGTCAACTTATTTTCATTAAAAGGGACCTCCATAAAATGCAAGTGTGTACCTCTACTTATAAGCTTTGGAAACAGAAATGAAGAGCAGAATATAAACTTCTCACTCAGTAATTAGAGAAGAAGCAGCTCACTGTCTGTTAGTTGATTACATTAGCTATAATAAGGGGAATGCCATCAAAATTGGGCACATTAAAACTGACTTTGTCAACTTTGATATATACTGAAATAAATCTCTATCCAAGTCATTTTCAGGCAAATAAACAATGTGTTGAACTCACATCTGTTCTATCAATAAATGACAGCTTACCCCTGAAAATTCTAAGAGCAAAAAAAAAAAAAAAGTTCTGTAGTTATGGAAGTATCAAGGCTCTAAGGGCTTAATTATATTCTTCAGAAAAACCAACACAGCAATAATAGATAAAAGAGTGTGAAAAAAAACTGCACATCTATATATTTTGCCCCTGCTATATTCTGAACTGCAAATGACCTCCCTCCTCTGTCACAAAAGATTAAGCATATCTTTTAAATAGGCAAGTTAGAAAAGTTATAGTTTTTGTCAGCTACAAAGCAATATTTTGTGTTACTTCCAGATATGGGATTGTCTCCATGCTGTTGAATGCAGTAGTTTATACTAATAAAAAAGAAAAAAAGAAGGATTTGGACATTCCCATCAACAGTATTCACATATTTGTTTGTACAAACTATGAGAATTTCTCACTGTCATGCAACTGAATTCCATGGAGCCTTTGAAAGATGAAATGTTACAAATCTCTCATGCCCTGTAGATGTTTACAATATTTTTACTAATGCATTTTACTAACGCATTGTCCATTGCCACTGGACAATAATTTTTCATACATGGTGTAAAAGGACTCTGATATTCCCATTACAATTTTATATACAGTATCTGTTTTTACAAACTATGAGAAATTCTCATTGGCAAAATATAAAATTGAATTCCATGCAGCATTTGAAAGATGTAATGCCACAAATCCCTCATAACTTGCAGATGTTGGTAAGTATCTTTACTAATACCGCCCCCAAAAAAGCTCTCTATGTTGCTTTTGGACAATGATCTTCCACATATTTTCCATATAGTCATGTTAAAGTGGCTCTATACAGAAAGATTAAAGTCATTAGTATCTTTAATTCACCTATTTACTCTGAAATAAGTCAATGAAATATGTAGTGAAGTACACAAATGACTATAGCCTAAATACCTGTGGATCAAAAAGCCTCATTCAAATTTCATGGAAGCTCTTTCGTAAGCTACTTTCAGACTTATCCACATTAGTAGCTTATTTTATTATTTATTTTATGCTCAAGAATAGTGGCAGATGTTTTCCATTAGAGGTTCCTAAACATGTCTAAAAAATATGTAAATCAGAGATGGAAATCTGTCCCCCCTCAAATATTGTTGAACCACAATTCCCAACATCCCTCCTCTCACTTGTCAACTAATTCATACTATCTACACAAGCCAGAGAGTTACACTTTTTAAATGACATAGATGAGGAAAAGACAACATTTCTTGATGATCACATCTTTGGAATTCATGTTCATATGGCATGGGTACTTTGATAACGTCACTGCCACAAAGAGGGGGACTTGTACTTTCATGAAAAAGCTGTCCTGCTAGAAAATGTTCATTCACCAGAAGGAAGTTGGTGAGATTAGTCCTGCCATCCCATTTAGCTCACTAGTTGGTCAGAATTAGTTTTAAGAATGCAGAATAGGGTGTTGTTATTCTTTTAGAACCAGATTTTGAGAGGGATGTATTATAATTTAAGTATCATTTAAAAAGTATCTGCTTTTTAAATATTACGACCAATGCATGTGAAACACCCTCATAATAGAACATGTAATATACATGGATCAGTACTGCTATTATTATTAACAAAGTAGCATCTAAAATAATTTGTGAAGAAAATCAGTCATTATCTTGTTTGGAAATACATGGAGTATCAGTAATACAACTGAGCTCAGCCACAGCAGAAATGTCACCCTGCTTAATGCAGAACCTGGAAGATTACAGGAATCAAGAAAATCGTAGGAACTATGCAAAAATATCTCCAATCTTCAAAAAAAGAGTGATTTCATGATTTGGAATACTCCAATGCTTATTGATAAATAAATGAACATATCAGAATATGACACTTCTTAAATGAAAGAACAGGTTCCCACTATGGGTTTGTGTAACATGCAAAACCATAAGCTATGATTTATCAAACATAATTATTGGATTTACATAACACATTAAACAAAATCAAACAGACAACATTATGGCTTAGCACAATGTGTGAACATAGCCAGTTGCTCTATATCAGATTTTTATTTCCTAATCTTGGACATAAACTACATCCTTTACACAAGATCGCTCTCTCCAAAATAAAGACATAAAATTATGGAAAGTTCCTATGTAGCAGTACATTACATATATCTTCTAGTTGATGAGATGCAGGTAGATTAGATATCCTAGAATTTTTTGAAAATAATTTAAATAAAGGTACTGACATAAGAATGATTTAGGATGCAAGCAAAGCTTTTATTAGGGGTTATCTGATACGATATTACTCTGAACTTAAGAAGAAGAGGCAAGAGAAAATACAAAATATTTTGGATGAGATTAAAAGAAAAGAAAAATAATTCAGGAATTCTCAAGGGAATACAAATATCTCCGAACAAATCAAGATTTTACAGCAACAGTTATCTATGTTAACAATAAGAGAAATGGAAATAAAATCGAACTATGCAAAGCAAAGAAATTTTGAATTTGCAAATAAATCAGGGAAATGGCTGGCTTACAAACTGCAAAAAGAAAAGGAAAAGAGAATGATATTGAAACTACAAGATGGAGACGCTGTATTAACAGATAACATGGCCATACAAAAAACATTTTATCAAAACTCCAATTCCTGCATTTTAATCTAACAAGTCCCCTCCAAAAAGCACCCTCAATGGATGGCATGCTAAATAAAATATGCTCTTAGGGCTTATCTACACAGCCTTAAGAAAGGTAGGCTGTTCCATAATTTAACATCAGAAAATGAAAAGGCTCCACAATGCACAGTCCAACTGGAAGAGCAACCCATTGGCTCTGAGCAGTTGAGCAAAGGAACTGATAGCAGACTGACTAGACGTGGTCGCTATCTACTAAAATAGACCTGTTTTTCAATATTTATTGGGTAATTAATAAAATTTTAAGAGTTGCTCTGTCACAGAAAGTGGAGGAAAGGGAAAAATAATGATCTTTAAAGACAAACATAAAACAAGCTGAGCTAATGAAAAACATATGCACAAGTCCAATGGGATGCAAGATAAATATAGTTCTCTACTAAAAGCTAAACAAAATTAATCGAGACACAGTATCACAAAGGCATAGCAATATTTTGATAGAGAAGTCAGATAGCATTAATGGGTATAGTTGGATGCAAATGTTTAGACACACTGATCATGCTGTGTGTTTCAGTGAATCCCAGAGTGATCAGAAACCGACTTAACCTCTACATTATTGCAAATCTGAATGCATACTTACTATTTATGCAACTAAGTAAGTAACTTTAAGGCATACAGAATAAAGTACAGCATTTCTATTGTCTGTTTAAACAATATTACTCTCCTTAATACCAATCTG